AAGAAAAATAAGCCCAATCATATACTGTTAGCAAGAGACATAGCTAGATGATCAGGATTCAGGAAGGATTAAGTTGAAAGGATGAACAAAGACATTCGAGGCAAATGTCAATAAAAAGAAAGCTAGTATAACTATATTAATTGCTGAAAATGTTGACGATAGTAAAGAAATAAATATTTAATAGAGGCATTTAATTAAGTCCATGCGACTTATAAAATAGTTGCCATTGCAGTATAGAAAAGATAATGTTGATTAATTGGTATTTATATATGATAAGTAAATAAATAAATCCCAGTCTCTACCTACATTGTACACAGATTTGAATCCAGAAATAGTTTGATAGATTCTTGCCTTTTGACCAAAGTTGCACTGTTAAGTAGGGGGAAAAGGGTATTTATTTCAATAAATGATAATGAATCTCACTCTACCTTAGAAAATACTTAAGCATCAATTAATTCCATGTGGATTATGCTGTAAATTTTCTACAAGGTAATAAATATAAGTAAGTGTTTCCGTGACCTTGGAGTAGGGAGGATTTTTTTAAATCCTCACCTGAGGGCATTCTTACTGATCTTAGAGGAAAAGGGAGGGAGATAGATACAGAAAGATAGATAGAGATATTGATGTGAGAAACATTGATTGGTTGCCTCCTATAAGGGCCTGGACTGGGGATTGTATGCACCCTGATGAGGGACCAAACCCACATGTACCCTGGCCGGGAATCGAACTAGTACCTTGCAGTTTACTGACAACACTCCAACCAACTGAGCCACACCAGCCAGGGTGGAAGGATTTCTTTAACAAGATAGAGTTGGCACCTACTCTAAGGGAAAAGATTGCACTGTATTAAAATTAAGGATGTCTGTTATAAAGACATCATTAGAAGGATGAAAAGTTGTGGAGATACATATGTAATTCCTACAAAGACAGCCCAAAAATGCAGTTAATAAAATTGAATAGTCACTTTGTCAATATGAAAAGTTACTCAATTTCTTTGTCAGGAAGGGAATATAAATGTGAACCAAAGTTAGATTCTCACCAAGATGGGTGATTTTTTTTAAGACCAATAATACTAAATGATGGTGAGGTTACTGAGTAGCAGAACTCTCCTATACTGTTAGTGGGAACATGTATTGTTATCTAATACGAAGAACTAAGTTTCTATTCATATCCTGTTATCCAACACTTTTACTTCTAGCTATAGACCTAGCAGAAGTGTGTGCTCCATATATGCACTGAACAACTCATTTTTTTTTATTGCGTTTATTGGGGTGACATTGGTAAATAAAATTATGTAGGTTTTAGGTATACAATTCTATAATTCAGTATCTATATATTGCCAAAAGACTCATTTGAAAAAGTTTTTTTTATAGCATTATATATATCAACTCCCAATTGGAAACAACACAAATGTCTACTAGCAGTTGAACATATAAATAAATTGAAGTATCCTCATTCTAGAATACTATATAGCAACAAGTGAATGAACCAGAGTTTCACATTGCATCGTGAACCAATTATTCCATTGATGTAAGGTTAAAATATGCAAAATTGTCTATAGTGTTAGAAGACACCTTCTGATAGGAGCAATGGGGTAGTAATTGGGGGAAGAGGCACATGGGGAACTGTAATGTGGCTAATGTTCAGTTCTTGGCCTGAGTAGTGGTCAGGTAGGTGTGTTTATGTGATGATGATAGCTTCGTGCGCCTTGTACTTAACGCTTCTGAAAATAAGTTCTACTCCAGTTTGTCCTTTCAGGGAGATAAATATAGGTATATTTCTCCCATCCAAGTACTAACCAGGCCCGACCCTGCTTAGCTTCCGAGATCAGACGAGATCGAGCGCGTTCAGGGTGGTATGGCCGTAGACTATAGGTATATTTCTGTTGTCCCAAAATGTTCAGAAAATAGGTTCAATTAAGAATATACTTGCTACTTTTTGCATACTACAGTGTTTTGGTGCTGGTTTTTTTTGCTGAGGTATCTCCAAGTGACCAATGATAAAGAATGGAATATTTGATTTTTCTGTCAGAATTTATGTACTTGTAATCGTTCATGCTTTGGTGCCAGTATCATTACTTATTTATTTTTTAATTCCTATTCATGCAAGAGGGAACTAACATTCACCTGAATCCATAAATGAATTAACTTATTTACAGTATTGGTAATGTATTGCTATACTCTCTAGTAAATAAGATAGGACATATTCCAGTTATTTTGCGTATTATTTTTAGCTGCTTTATCGTTACAGCTGTTTTTAGTAAGAAATTTCTCTCTATACATTTAGATAATTCTTTTTATTCAATTGTAATACCTGTGTATTACACATCTCTTTGGGTGTTTGGATAGCTAGCAGTAAGATTTTTTTTGGAAATACAAATTTTTTATTGTGTTTTGGTGAATTTCTAGTTAAATTAAAATTCTAATTGGATATTCATATGCAAAAGAATTATGTTGACTCCCTGCCTCATACCATATACAGTATTTGACAGGAAGTTGATTATTCACTTAAATATAAGAGATGTAAAATTAACAGTCTTAGGAAAAAACAGAGGATAAGTCTTAATGACCTTGGGTTTGGTAATGATTATTAGATATGACACCAAAAACACAGACAACAAAAGAAAAATATTTAAATTGGACTTCATTAAAATTAAAAACTTTAGTGCATCAGAAGACAGTATTGAGAAAGTAACCATTATAAAGAAAGTAAAGAGAGAAATTATGGAATAGGAGTTTCAGTATCTAGAATATATATATTTTATATTCAGTATCTAGAATATATAGTGTCCAGTATCTGGAATCTATAAAGAACTATTAGGTCTCACCAGCAAAAAGACAGCCCAATCAAACCATAGTCAAAAAACTAAAATAAACATTTTTTTAAACAAGATACACAAATGGCTTACAAGGACATGACAGGATGTTCATTGTCATTAGGGAAATGCCAACCAAACCACAAGAAGCCACCATTTCATATTTACTGGGATAGATACAATAAAAAGTGAAAAATAACAAGTGTTGGCAAGAATGTGGTGAAGGCCTGACCAGTGTGGCTCAGTGCATTGAGCCACATCATACCACAAAGTGAAAGGTCACCATTTTGATTCCCCATCAAGGCACATGGCTGGGTTGCATGTTCGGCCACCATTTGGGGCACACACGTACGAGAGGCAACCAATCCATGCTTCTCTTCCTCTTATTTCTCCCTCCCTTCTCCCTCTCTAAAAATAAGTAAGTAAAATCTTTTAAAGAGAGAATATGGTGAAATTGAACCCTTCATATATTACTTTTGCGAATATAAAATGTTTCAGCTGCTATGATAAATTTGGTAGTTTCTCAAAAACTTAAACATAAAATTACCATATGATTCAGTCATTCCTCCAAGATATAACCAAAGAATCAGAAACAGATATTCAAATAATTCTACACAAATGTTCATAGCAGCAGAATTCACAATAGCTAAAAGGCGGAAACAACCTAGATGTCCTTCAATGAATGGATTGTGCTATATTTGTGGATATTAATCAGTCACCGAAAGAAAAAAGTGGTACATGCTATTGGGTTGGCTAAAATGTTCATTTAATTTTTTCCATACAGTGGTGCTTAGTTGTCTTTAAGTTACTTTGAAACAATTTTGTTTGATTGTATTGTGACAGCTGTCATATCACTGTACATTTTTTTAAAAAGTCAGAATTCATTAATTTTTGTGCAGCCACTTTAATATTAAAGATGAAAGAAGATACACATTTTTGACATTATGTTTTATTATTTCAAGAAAGGTAAAAACGCAACTGAAATGCAAAAAGGATTTGTGCATTGTATGGAGAAGGTGCTATGACTGGTCAAATGTGGCAAAAGTAGTTTGTGAAGTTTCTTGGTACTATTGACATTTTGGCCAAATAATTCTTTGCTGCAGGGCTGTCTTATGCATTGGAAGCTGTTTAGCAACACCTCTGGCTTTCCACCTACTAGAAGCCAATCGTGGGAGATAGCCAACATACTCAGAATATCCAAATTAATAAGGTTATTGGTGAAAATGAAAAATGTGCCTTTTATGGGAAAAACAAAATGGACTTTTTAGCCAACCCAATACAGTGCAGATGAACCATAAATATTATTATGCGACATGAAATAAGCAGGGGGGAAAAGGTCACATATGATATTATTCTATGTATATACAGAATAAGTAAAAATAAAAAGCTTGGTGGTTTCCAGGGGCTGGGTAGGGGACGGAAGGGGAGTAACCAATTAAGGGGAACAGGGTTTTATTTGGGGGGAGTGAAAGGGTTTTAGAGGTAGGTAGAAGTGGTGGTTGCAAAACATAGCGAATATACCATATGGCACTGACTTGTCCACTTTAAAATGGCTAATTTTATGTAAGTTAAAATCTAGAACTTAAATACATTGCCATCATATATTAGTTTACATAACAAATCAATACAGTACAATTGATTTAATCATAGATATGAAGCCAAAATAGGAAAATGTTGTTAATAAAATTCCTGATACCATGGTGAGAATTATAAGCCTGTAATTGTCTTGTCTTTGACTAATCAGTCTAGCCTTAGTTTCTCTTGCTATTTTTTCAAAATAATTGGGTTAAATGACTCTAGAATTCTTACACATTTTCAGTTCCTTCTACTTCATTTTCAAAAAGTGGTCTGGATTTAAGTCTAGATAATACTGTTTTCTGCTTAGAGTAAACTCATAAGTGGTTATGTTTGAGTAGGATACCACCCCTAAGAGCAAAGAATGCTGGGAAGACAATAGAAGCAAACATTTGTATATCATAAGCTTATTTGGGGTCCCCCACCCCAACAAAGTAAATATTTTTAGATATTTAGGATTATTGTAACTTTAAAATGATAAAACAGTATGCAGATATAAATAATGTCTCTTATCTGTTTCACACTTTTTCAGCCTGACATTAGCTTTAAGCCATGGAAAAGTCTAAACAGTTCCCATTTTTAATAACATAAAATATTTTAAATTAATCAGATGAAAAATCCATGCTGGAACAAAAAACTTCTAAGCCAGCTGCTCCACAAGTCCCACCCAAGAAGCCTACTCCACCCACCAAAGCCAATAATTTATTGAAATCTCCTGGAACAATGTATTCAAAGCGACCTGAGAAACCAGTTCCTCCACCACCACCTGTAGCCCGGTAAATTTTACATAATTTTAAGTTAGTTTATTAATAGACTATATTTTGCTATGTATAATGTGTTGCCGTGTATAATGCGCACCCCTGTTTTTGGTTCCCTTTCAGAGGAAAAAATCTTTCAATTCAATTTTTATCTTTTAATTCAATTTTTCATTTATTTATATTTAGGTACTTGGTCTTTGTATTATAAAAGAATTCTAGCATTTATTTTTTAACATAAATTCACTTTTTAACTTTTTTATTCAATTTTTCATTTATATTTAGGTACTTGGTTTTTGTATTATAAAGGAATTTTAGCGTTTATTTTTTAACATATTATGGTACAAGAAATTTTATGTACCAGAAACAAATTTATAATCCCAGTCTGACGTGGCTCCAGAATCCAGGTCTTCCCCTCCTGCTCCTCCAGCAACTCTGGAGGATTCCCTCGCATTGCCTTCTCCTGTCTTGGCATCTGAAGAAGCTTTCCTTCCTGTTGACTCCACAATCTGATGACACTCTTTGTGGGAGGAGGTCCAAAGGGTCTCTCAGCAGCTCTGTTGCCATGCTTTTTAGCCTATTTAATAACTTCTAGCCTAAACCTTGCAGTGTATGAAAACCATTGTGACATTTTCCAAGGGATTTTCCAATAATTTCTCCTGCCTAAAGTGTGTGAAGAGAAATGTCACACTGTTCACCCTATGGTAATAAAATTGGCATCACCTGTCTTATCAAGTGGAAACAAACGGCATCATCTCTCTTACTCTATTGAATTGTTCACTGAAACTGCTTTTGTTGCAAGTTAGTTGCAAGTTTAACAAAACTGATGATCATATTCCAGGGCATTATTTTGCATATGTTTATCGTTATTGCTTTGTAGAGTTACACTTTTAAGGCACAGACATAAATAAAACATTTATGTAGATACGGAATTAATACTACCCATGTATAATGCACATCCTTATTTTTCCCTCAAAACTATGGGCAAAAAAAGTATGCATTTCACATCAATGGCTCCATTGCCTTTCTAAATCTCAAAGTAATTTTTAAAGTATTTGTTTTCCATGTTCTTTTCTACAGACTTTAATAATTTTCTGTTAAATGTTAATCTTATATTCATACTTGGTAGAGGTTAATGTTTATGAAAATCATTTTATAGAGCAGAAAGAAAAGTCACTATTATGCTCTAACATCTTTAATATCATTAAATTACAATGTTAAAAAATGGTCATGTTTCACATATAAGTGATTTTTTGCTCTGCTTGATTTTTCTCATTTCAGGATTAATGGGGAGGTGTCTACAATTTCATCAAAATTTGAAACTGAGCCACTATCAAAACCAAAGCTAGATTCTGAACAGTTACCACTTAGACCAAAATCAGTAGACCTAGATTCATTTACAGTTAGGAGCTTTAAAGAAACAGGTAAGTAAACCTGTAGAAAGGTGGTACTGTAAAAAAAAAAGTTGCCAATATAGTTTTCAGAAAGTATTAAAAATATGAAATTTCTATATGCAGTTTGTTTGTGGATACAGTAGAAATTAAAATTTCTTTAAAATCTGTGAAGCCAAAATAGAAAAATGTACAAAGATAAATGGACCAAATATTTATGATTCACATAAGCTTTCTTACTGACCAGAGGACTGAAGCAGATAGTAGGAGATCATTTATTGTTCTGTCCCTTCAAAATAGAATGACCATATGAAAACACATGAGTTTTAAAGGTTTAAAAATAAAGAGATGTGATATAGACTTTGAATACCAGCCCTAGATTACATTTAAGAGGACTTTTTATTTTCTAATTAACCCCAATATACTTTTGTTTCCAGTTCAGGCAAATAGGCTTTTTATGACTCTCTCTCTCTATACATATCAGCAGATTTTACTTCTTTAGCTAAATGTTCTTTAAGTTTTTGGACTGATTTTTCAGCCCATTAATTGTCTTTATTAGTCTCTAGTCTTTTACATTTTTTAGTTCTAAAATGGAACGCTTGAAACAGAGGAAGTCTTGCCCTGGCTGTTGTGGCTCAGCGGATTGAGTGCCAGCCTGCACACCAAAGGGTTGCTGGTTCAATTCCCAGTCTAGGGCATTTGCTTGTGTTGTGGGCCAGGTCCCCAGTGCGGGGCATGCAAGAAACAACCACACATTTGATGTTTCTCTCCCTCTTGAAAAAAAAAGAAAAGAAACAGGAAGTCTTGATAAAGGTCTCACTATTAAAGCGTTATTGTACAGTACTTTGAATTTGTTTTTAGGTTTTTTTTGCAGTTTCAAAGCACTTTCTCATATATGTTCTTATTTTATCCTTACAATAACTCCTAAGAGGCAGATGCTAATTTTCCCTATTTTGCATCTAAACAAAGTAAGCTAAAGGCATATCAACTGTTCAAGATCACATAAGCCAGAGAGAACTCTTTAAATCCCTTTATATTGAATGCTCTATGAAATATTTTTAAAAATCTTAATGCTTTAAATATATTTTTTAATTTTAGTGTTAACAAACTCAAGGTCAGTTACACTTAGATTTTTTTAAAAGATTTTACTTATTTTTAGAGAGGGAAAGGGAGGGAGAGACGAGGCATTGATGCAAGAGGGACTCATCAATCAGTTTCCTGTCACATACACAACAACCAGGGAACGTGGCCTACAACCCAGGCATGTATGTGCTCTGACTGGGAATCAAACTGGCGATCTTTCTGTTTGTAGGCCAGCAGTCCATCCACTGAGACACACCAGCCAGGGCTACACTTAGATTTTTTTTTTTTTTCCCCACTGCTTATTATCTTGCAAAATTTTTCAGGTGAATTTGTCTTTCCTCTTTTCAGTTTGCCAGTACCAAAGCTATGACCTAAACATGGCCTCCCACAGTTTTATTAATGTTTTCTAGAGCTTCTCTGTATTTTGCATCCTGCCTGTTCTGGGGGAACCCATATTCATTAAAAAATTCTGGAATTTAAGATGTCAGTTGTATTTTAGAGGCATTCACTCAAGTATGTTCAATATGTTTTGTCTGATGAAAATGATTTGTCTTCACTGCTAATTAAGTAAATCAAACAGTTTGTGATTTTAAAAATCTTTTCCTAATGAGGTTAGTGGTAAAAATATATAATTCTGTTCTTGTTTTCTCTTTGATGTAAAATACAGCTAGAGATGTGTTTCCAAAAGCAATAATTGGAGAAGTAAAGATTTAGTGCACAGTTTTAACTCTGGAAATCAAAACTTCCTGGGCATTTCAATTTCCATAATTTTCTGCGATCTTTTTTTTTATTTTTTAAATAATTATTGATTATGCTATTACAGTCCCTTTTTTCTCCCCTTTATTCCCCTCCGCCCTGTACCCCCCTTCCACCAGCATTACTCCCCACCCCCTTAGTTCATGTCCATGGGTCATACATGTAAGATCTTGGCTTCTCCATTTCCTATACTATTCTTAACCTCCCCTTGTCTATTTTGTACCTACTATTTATGCTTCTTATTCCCTGTACATTTCCCCCTTTCGCTCCCCTCCCCCTTCCCTCTGATCTCCATTTCTGTGATTATCTTCCTGTTCTAGTTGTTTGCTTAGTTTGTTTTTGTTTCTGTTTTCTTCAGGTTCAGTTGTGGATAGTTGTGAGTTTGTTGTCATTTTACTGTTCATAGTTTTTGATCTTCTTTTTCTTAGATAAGTCCCTTTAACATTTCATATAATTAGGGCCTGACGATGATGAACTCCTTTAACTTGACCTTATCTGGGAAACACTTTATCTGCCCTTCCATTCTAAATGGTAGCTTTGCTGTATAGAGTAATCTTGGATGTAGGTCCTTACCTTTCATGACTTTGAATACTTCTCGCCAGCCCCTTCTTGCCTACAAGATTTCTTTTGAGAAATCAGCTGATTGTCTCATGGGAATTCCTTTGTAGGTAACTGTCTCTTTTTCTCTTGCAGCTTTGAAGATTCTCTTTATCTTTATTCCTGAGTAATGTAATTATGGTATGCCTTGATATGTGCTTCCGTGGGTCCCACTTCTTTGGGACTCTCCGAGCTTCCTGGATCTCCTGGAAGTCTGTTTCCTTGGCCAGATTGGGGAAGTTCTCCTTCATTATTTTTTCAGATAAGTTTTCAATTTCTTGCTCTTCCTCTTCTCCTTCTGGCACCCCTATGATTTGGATGTCAGAACACTTAAAGTTGTCCCAGAGGTTCCTAAGCCTCTCCTCATTTTTTTGAATTCTTGTTTCTTCATTCTGTTCTGGTTGAATGTGTCTCTCTTCCTTCTGTTCTGTCGTTAATTTGAGTCCGAGTTTCCTTCCCTTTACTCTTGATTCCCTGTGTATTTTCCTTTATTTCACTTTGTATAGCTTTCGCTTTTTCCTCCATTTTGTGACCATACTCCACCATTTCTGTGAGCATCCTGATTACCATTGTTTTTGAACTGTGCATTTGATAGGTTGGCTATCTGTTCATCGCTTAGTTCTATTTTTGGAGTTTTAATCTGTTCTTTCTTTTGAGCCATATTTCTTTGTCTCAGCATGCCTGTTATGTTGGAAGCCTTAGGTATTCACCAGGGTGGGGCAATCCAGGTCGCTGCATTTTGACGCTGTATATGGGGGAGGTGTCTGAGAGGGAGCAGTGCCATTTGCTCTGCTCTTGGCTGACTTTCAGTCACTTCCCCTGCTACCCACAAGCAAATTGGGCCCTTCAGGTGCTGATTCCTGGGTGTGTGGGTTTGTGTACCATTCTAGGACCCTGTGGGTGTCTCCAACAAACTCTCCTATGAGTCTAGGATTTTCTCCTGCTGCTACAGTCCCCACAGGTTTTTATCTCCAGAGGTTTTGAGGCTTTCTTTTCCTGCACTGGAACCCTGGATTGCTGGGTCTCTCTCACTCCCCAGCTGTTCTCCCAGTTTGTCTGTACAAAAACATAGGACCACCATCTGCCATCTCACCCACCTGGTCCTCCAGCTGCCACCTTGCTGCACATTCTCTCCACCATGGTTGCCCATCTCCGCCCTCCTACCGATCTGGATGAATGTTTCCTCTTGCATTCCTTGGTTGTTGGACTTCCACACGGTTCAATTTTCTGGCAGTTCTGGGTATTTTTTGTTTTTAAATTTGTTCTCGTCCTTCTTTTGATTGTGCAAGGAGGCAAAGTATATCTACCTACGCCTCCATCTTGGCCAGAAGTCCAATTTTCTGCCTTTTTGATCAGAAGTTTTAAATTTTGAAGAGTGTCTTTGGGAACTTAAGGAGTAATATTTAGATAAGTCTGTGTATTTTCTGTTACTTAATATCATTCTGTGCAACATTTGTGGTAGAAATGACATGTAACAGCATGAAACTATTCTTTGAAAAGTCCTACTTTTTACTGTCTTTGCTCCCCTTTCTTATTTTACATCCATAGCCATTCAGTTTTCATTAAAAACCAAAGAGGTTTTGTGGAACCACGTTTTGAAATTTTCTTTTTCTTTTTTTAAATCAAATGAATAAGGGAGTAATTTAGAGATGCTGAGAATTACATGTGGTCAAGAAACTAACAGCTGACCTTCTAGCTACTGTCCTTTATTCTTTCTGCCATCAGGTACTTTTGGTGTACCCTGTAAAGTTCAGAAAATGCAAATTTTAGAAATTGAGTTCATCTTAGTAGCAGATATTTACTAAGAGGTATTCTCTTTGCAGTACTGTTGTAGGCACAAGTAGTGTGTCAACATAAAAGATATAGTTGCTGACAACAAAGTGCTAATGTTTCTGACCTCAACTCAGGCCATTCCTTATTTCCTTTTTAATTAGCATATCTTGTGTTTTTAGTAGGAATAGTAGAAAAGTGTTTTACCTCTTCTTCAGAAACTGTTATGCATCAAATACAACCTCAAATTTGGCAGTAAGTTGAGGCATATTTTAAATTATATTTTTGGCTCAGTTTGAAGTTTTAAAATTTAAACAGCATATCAGCCTAGCCCTTTTAATATAAGTTTCAGAAAGTTTTTAAAAAATGGAGAAATCTCTTGAGAATTAATTTACTCTTATGTAAATAACTTGAAGTGAAATGATATAATAGAAAGTACACTGATCTTGCTGACAGTAAATGTAGGTTATAAATTACTAGCTGGTGATCATGATTAACATGATTCTTCTAGTAATCTGTTTTTCTTGCTTAATTAACAAATGAATGACCTAAAATACCTATTATATCTATTAGAACACCAGATATGGAAGGTGATATAAAAAATTATTTCCATTGTGCTCCCCATCTCCATTGTTAATCCCATCTCATTCTGTTTCTGCTCCTATCTGTAAAAGATGTGAATTTCTGCTTCTGCTTCCAGATAGGATTTTCCTGTACATAAAGGCATATAAAACACATATATGTATATAAATACAGACTTTGACTTTTCTACATACTATAAAAAAATTCTTAAAACAGTTTGGTTTTCTTTTGAAAATTCATATATATATCTTCATATATGCTATAGAATAGTACTACAAATTGCAGAGCTGTTACAACCATGTTTTAATTGGTTTTTCAACCACTTCATCAAAAATTGGTTAGAACACTCTCATTGCCACTACTGGTTAATTATAAAGTTTACATACTCTAAATATTCCTAAAATAGTCAATTTTCCAGGACGTAAAATTAGTTTGCAATTTCATCTAAAATACAAGATATGTTAATGGTAACATAACTGTCATTGAGAAGACACAGCTGATGAAGTATTTTTCAAGTGTAGTATTTTATCTATTTTTTTTCCTGTGGTAAATTCTTCTTGAGTAAAAAAGAGATTGTAGAAATACATACATGATTAGATCCAAAAGCTTTTATTTTTAAATAAGGGACCATTCTTTCTCTTCAGTTCTGTGTGATAGTTGGTCTATTTTTGTTTGAATTATTTTTCCTTATTTGTTCATTTATTTCTTTCAGAAAGAATTTATGTTGTGTTTTTTTCCTAATAAGGAATTTACCAGGTTATAAGAGCAAAGATTATAATTTGTATTTTCTAATGATGAGTATCATAAGACATTGTTGAATTTTCCTTTATATATGTATGAAATTTCAAGTGTTGTACTATGTTGCATTTTTAGTGAGATATTTTAAAAGAATATTTAATATAGTTTTATTAGATCACAAAACTACAGTTTTCTTACTTTATTGTCATATACTGAAGACTAAAACTAGACTAAAAGGTGGATTAATTTTAGTTACATCTGTGTTAATGAGTTGTTAATATATTGGTTTATTACTCTGACCACTAATCTTAGTACTAAAACATCCTTTTGGAAACTGTCTTGGTGTTCAGTGAGTAATAAAAAATGGCTTCTTTGTAATTAAATGTCTATTAAATTTATGTTCCTCATATTTTTCCCTTTGAAAACAAAAGAAAAAATCTAAAATTTAATACACATCTTTTGTAAATATAGGTGATTTGCAATAGGTTTATGCTAAACGTTGAACTGATTCTATTCGTTCTACAACTGTTCCTTTTTTCCTGCTTTGTAAAATAATTTTTTTGGTTTAGACTTTTTTCTAGACATTTCTATCCTTGACTTTTCTTTCCAGATTTTGTTTCCTAGCCTGTTTGCCATGTTTCCCTTCTTACGTGTCAGGAAATTATTCTACCTTTCTCCATTTTGGTAAGATAATAATTTATCAAAGAAATCAAAATAGTGTATTCAGTATAAATAGGTGGTGCACATTGATTTTTTTTTTTTTTTTGTAACTTTACTAAAAATGTTCATGTCTGTCTATTCTAACCCTTTAGTTTTCCATTTTAAAATAAAATTCATGTTGGAAAAATTTCCCTGATTAAAGATAATTTTGATAAGGTTTTTTGTTTAATTGGAAACCATAAAAGTTTATTTTCTTGCAAAATATGGTATTTCATTGTGATTTTGAAAAATTCTGTTTCTTCTTGGCAATAGTATTTAGAACTATAAAAGGCTGGCAGAGTGACAATATGATTGCGAGTTAAGTGATTGTCATGCCTTTTGTGCCACATATACCGTCTAAATCCATTGTTATCACTTAGGGAAATTAAAAAGTGTACAAATTTATCATGAGTCCAAATGTGCACTGTTTCATTTTACTAACTAAATGGCTTAAATTGAGGACCTGAGAGAGTTACAGAGTAGTAAAATTATTTGTCTTAATGTTGTAGCCCCAAACTGGACATATGAAAAGCCTTTTTACATGAGCATAATGTATATTTTGTAAATCTACCTTTATTTAATCTTTCAATTTCATTTATGTTCCTCCCTCCCTATGTTTTTCTGTTTGTTTCTTTTTCTTTCTGCAAGTTGCTTAAATATGCATTTGAAAATAATCTCCATAGGCCAAAATGATTGGATTGCACTTTTCAAAGTTTTTTTTATTTTGCTTGTCAGTAAACATTTATCAGCGTAAAAAGCAATTTTTCACCCTATAAACTACAGTATGTTTTTAACATTTTAAAAAATATTGATTATTTACTTTGTTGGTGACATGTACAGATAAAATGAGATATAATATATAATTAAACTCAAGGTCTTTCACACTGTATAATGCCTTTTCCATTAAAGCCACTGTGTTTTCTATTATGGTTTGTTATATTTTATAATTACTTATAGACTATTATTGAATGACTCATTCAGACAGTCATTAAATTGAACACATTAGATTGCCTATTGTGATATATTGACCATAGTGACTAAATATAAGAGGGCACACAGAAGGTAATCCCAGAATATGGAAATGGAGAAGTGGTCAGTAAACATTTAAAACTGTCACAAAATCCATATTGCCAAACAGTGATACCACTTCCTCTGCCTTCCCCTATTTGTCCTCTATCCCTTAAAAAAAATTATCTAAGTGAATTACTTTGAATATGAAAATTGATGAATAAGCTGAAGTCAATACTGATGAGACTCTTTAGATTCTTTTATAAAATAACAAAACAGTGAGGTGGAACATCTAAATATTTAACAAAGCATATAAACATCCAGGCAAATAATAATACGAAGAATGATTCCATACCTGGAAGGCCAAAGAAACCTGCTGCCATTTCCCTGGTTTGCAGTCTGGACTTCAGGAAGATAATATTGACAGTGGAAGTATCTGGAGTTACCCTTAAGATTTTTGTTAGTTACAAATACCTGGGTTTCAAAATTAAAGATCAGCTCTGTTAGCAAGCTTTTCTGGATCATGTAGAAAAAGTGAAGACATTATATACCGTTGTTTCAGAGATAGGAATTACCTAGTTTTGTTTTTACGCCCATTCATGGATCAACATCAACCAGCCTTTGATGGTGGGGAAATGGATGGTCTTTGTAGGATTTTCCCTTGATCTCCCATCTTTCTTAGATTTATGATTTCCAAATATGGAAATATCTTGCAGAAGTGCAGTAAACTATAAACAGTGTGCACCCCAGCTACAGCTTTACTATGTACATACATATATACGTATACCAAGACACATTAAATTATACCTTCCCTTTACATTGAGAAAAGCAATTGAAAAGCAGCAGGGTAGCAGATATAGTTGAGTCCTTAAAATGTGTGTATCAGGATACCACCTGAAGTTTAAAATACGCTTTTTGTTTTATTTTTCTGATATATATTATAATTATGAGTTGAGATAAAATCCTTTTTTTATAATAAGAAATTGAGATGACAGCTTTTTGTGCAACAGCTTGTGGTACAGATTTATATCTTTCAAGAACTTTTTGCTGTGTTCGAAGTCTTTTAAAAGCATGAACTTCATATTGTTACTAAAGTCTTACACTATAAAATATATCAGGTAAAGTGTATGTTTTTAAGGGTGAATGTTTTCTAAATGCATATGAAAAGCACAGGTCAACATGTGAGTCCTTTAATTTATGGTTTGTTAAGAATCCAGAAATACTTTTTTTAACCTTTTAAAATGCACAGTCATCTCTTATTAGATACAATGAATTTTATTCTCTAGATCTCGTAAATTTTGATGATATAGCTTCCTCAGAAAACTTGCTACACCTCACTGCAAATAGACCGAAGATGCCTGGAAGAAGGTTGCCTGGACGCTTCAATGGTGGACATTCTGTGAGTTACACTTAACTTGTAAAACAGGGAATTTAGCAGATTGAGTCCTTTTGAAGATTAAGAATGAGGGAAGATTTATAGCTCCACTAAAGTCTGAAAATCAGGACGGTAGCTGTTGCACTCAAGTGGCATATGTTTGTATTTAGGGAGATGTGGGGAATGCATCTTGCTCATTCAACAGAACTTGAAATGGAAGGTTCCACAATCAGAAATAGAGTTGTACCGAGACCATAACCACAGAACACTCAAACGAGATCAGGGTATTGTATAATCTGCCTGTCTAACAACAATAATTAGAGTTGAGTGGTACATACTCATTTTACGAAAGACCAAGAACATCTTTCTCCTTGAACTACTAAAAGGTTTTTATAGTACTAATCTTGCTATTTAAATGTGGAACTTCTTTTTTTTTTTTTTATACATTGCTTGGGACACTGGTAATACTTTAGTGCCAACTTATTACTTAGCGCTCTTAAGCACTATGGTGCTTTTAAATTACTTAAGGGAAAATTTCCACAGCTAACAGGCAACCTGTTTTTCCCTCAAGATATGCAGATGTCTTATTCAGCTTGAAATTATGTAACATCCTGTTAATAATAATGGAAAGCTGGAACACTTAAGTGCTGAGAACAGAGATAAAAGTTATTTACTTACCCAAATTCTAACCTTTCCTGTTTCTTTTAAAAAATCATTTAGCCAACTCAAAGCCCAGAAAAAATCTTGAAGTCACCAAAAGAAGAAGATAGTGCCAACATAAAGCCATCTGAGTTTAAAAAGGACTCTAGCAACTCTCCAAAGGTGAGATATGCATCTTGGTCTAAGATTTGTATACTTCATAAGATTCTTTTTAAAATGTCAAAGCTGTGTAATTTGAAGTGTCCTTTGAGTTGTTGCCCAGACCAGTGTGGCTCAATAGTTTAAATCATGGCCCCTACACCACCCCCTAATGGAAGAATTGCATTTGGATTCCTGGTTGGGGCACATGTTGCAGATTCATCCCTGATCTGGGGGCAGGTATGTTGCCATCCCCAGTCCCAACAACCACTATCCCTGGTCCCAGTGGCTGCCCAGCCTGGGTGTGTGGGAAGGCAATCAGTCAATGCTTCTCTCACATCAGCGTTTCTCCTTTTTCTCTCTGTCTCTAAAACAGCAAATGAAAATGTCCTCAGGTAAGGATAAAAAAAACAAAATTGAGTTGTTAAAGGTAAATCACATTATTCTCTGCAGATCGTTATTTTTTTTAGATCTCAAATCATTTTAAATAAGTAATATTAAAATGTTACATGTGTCCTATTTTTTGTTTATCCTCACAGAAGGGTATTTTTTCATTGTACTTTTTTCTTTTTTTTTTTTTTTAAGAGAGGAAGGGAGGGAGGGAAAGAAACACTGATATGAGAGACAAGCATTGGTGGTTTGCCCCCTGTAGGTGCCTGGACTGGGAATCACAGGCACCCAGATAGGGGATTGAACCTGCAACCTAGTCATGTGCCCTGACTGGGAATCGAACCTGCAACCTTCCTGTTATAGGATGATGCTCCATTCAACTGAGCCACATTGGCCAGGGCCATGTTTTCTATTTTTTAAGGCATAGATCTATACATCTATTTAATTTTCCTGTTAAACACATATACTCATTAGGTCAGAAGCCATCACTTTTGTTTACTTTCTACCTAGCTTGATGATTGGCACCATAACAATCACTGAAGACTTCTGGCATAAGTGACAGAGTACATGTATTCTTCCATCTGTTGTATGGTGTTAAGGCTCTCTTCTAAACTCTTGCCATTTTTATTAAAGGTAGTATTTATTACCGCAACTGGTACTCATATTTAAGAAGGTCATCTCTCTTTCTCAAATATGTTCCAGGGTATTTGGCTGCCATTCCAGTTTATCAGATATACTTAATCTGATTCTCTTAGCAGTTAGCAGTCAATTGAAATTTTATTTGCTATTATTTTATTGAACTAGTGAAAGGGCGTCAGACCATGTATTAATTGTAATGCCTTTTCACACACTTCATAATTACTTGTAAGTGAAGCTCTTTGGACAGTTTAAATAATAACTTTAGTATGGAGGACCATAACAATACAATAATGGTGATACAGTATTCTCCCCTTTTCTGTAGCAGATCCATTCCCAGACCCGCAATGGTACTGGAAAATAACTAAATAAATAAATAAATAGGTTTTTTAAAATACACGCATACATAGCTTTTTATGTATGGGAAGCACTTTATGGCATCTCTGTAGCGTATCCAAATTACCAGCATCACTACTCTTATGCTTCAGGCCCATTCTTAAGTAATATAAGAGTTATTTGAACACAAGCACTGTGGTATCAGGACCAGCTGATCTGATAACCGAGATGGTTAAGTGACTAACAGGCAAGTAGCATATATGCTAGAGTAAGGGATCATTCATATTCAGGGCAGGACAGAGCGAGATGACTTGAGATTTCATCACACTAAGGATGGCATGCAATTTAAAACATAAATTGTTATCTTTGGAATTGTTTACGTAATATTTTCAGACCACAGCTGACTGTAGGTAACTGAGAGTGCAGAAAGTGAAACCGTGGGTAATGGTAGGATTGTATATTCCTGCTTCTAGATATTCCACTAGGCAAACCATTCATAATATAAATCTAACGGATTTTGCATTTTAGATTTTTTTTTTTTTTCTAATTTAAGAAAACAAAACTCCTGGCATTTCTCACAAAAATCCCTAGTATTTGCAAATTCATTCTTTGGTTTGATGGTTTTTCCAGTTGTGAACCTCAAACTGCTTTTACTATTTCCAAATTTACCATTTATCTTGACATTCATTTATCTCCTTGCTATAAAAATCTTTTGAACTTAAATATAATACTGAGTACAAATAAAATTACAAAAATCTCTGTTTATGTTTTCAGCCATCTCTATACCTTTCAACACCTTCAAGTCCTTCAAAACCAAATACAGCTACTTTTTTAACTCCATTAGAAATTAAAACTAAATTAGAAGCAGATGATGGTGAAAAAACTTCCCTGGATGAAATTAAAGCTGAGATGATTGAACTGCTGTGCATTGTAGAAGCACTGAAAAAGGATCATGGGTAAGTAGGCCTTGTTTGCTTCTTTGAATACTACTTGAAAACTATGTAAAGAAATCTTTCAAATCATAAGTAGTCAAAGTGTAATCTGCCACATTACTGGTGTCAACAAATATGCTTTCAAAGATATTTCTCTTAATTGTGCTTATCTCCTTTTGGCAAAAACCTTGAATTGGAACACTTATTCAGGGAGCCCAATTATAAAAAAGGTACAGACATACCTGTAATTTAAGGCTAGAAATTATCTGGCCAAACACAGGAGTTAATTAGTCTTAACATTTTTTAAAAACCACCTTGACCTGTGTGGCTGTAGGTTGGGCGTCATCCTGGGAAGCAAATGTTTGATTCCTGGTCAGGGTGCATGCAAAAGGCAACTGATTGGTATCGATGTTTCTTTCCCCCCCTTCCCCTCTCTCTAAAAATAAATAAGTATATAAAATTTTAAACTAGGAAAACCATATTGTATACTGGATCTCGGGTGTATATAGTTTATTTCTATGAGGACTTTGATAGATTTTTCTGCCAGGGGTTGAGCTGGATATTTGTAAAACAAGTGGGTTGGGATAGGTGACCTCTAAGACCCATCTGTTATCTCTGAAAATTTTCTAATAATTGTATATGGTGATACATACCTTAAGTAAAAGTAAAGGACATTCTTTACAAAAACCCAGTAACTAAAAGAGGTCCAGGATCAGCTAATCTAACTGAACTGAGGGCTGAGGTTTCAGGTGCTTTTTTGTTTCTCACCATCTCTCTCCTGTAGTCTCTACAAGTATTTTATGGAATATGGAATCTGATATAAAAGTTACTGCCAGAGACCATGTTACCTCTGAACTGGAATGTGCTATTTCTCCCCCAATATCAGATAGCATTGAATTCTTTATAAAAAAGCACCAAGATGAATATGATATACTTGTATTTTGCAGGGCACTTTTATAAACATTTCTTGGATACAAATAAATTTATCTTGAGCAATTACTCGATATTTTCATGCATATATATATATATACACACACATATATCATATATAGAGTATTTGTAATGTGATATATGCTGCCTCCTTTTTTTTTTTTTTTTTTTTTTGATGTCTCTTTTTTTAGAGAGAAGGGAAGGGAAGGAGAAAGAGGGAGAGAAACATCCATGTGCGAGAGATACATCTATTGGTTGCCTCTCGCAGGCCCCCAACTGGTGATCTGCCCTGAAACCTTTTACTCTACAGGCCACATTCAATCCACTGAGCTTTGTCTTGATGGCTTTGTCTTGAGTCCTTTAGTTTATCTCTTCTGAGTACAGCAAATTTGTTTCAGATTTCACAATATACATATTATAAACTATAAGTTCATTCATCTAGGAAATTTTTACTGAGTATTACCCATACCCAAGAACTCTCCTGAAATTTAAAGAAGAGCATGACAAGAAAATGGAGATATACAGAGAAATACTGCACAGTGTACAGCTATAAAAATAAATGAATTATGGCCCTGGCTGCTGTAGCTTAGTTGGTAGAGCATTGTTCCATAACAGAAAGGTTGCTGGTTTGATTTCCAGTCAAGCGCACACACCTGGGTTGTAGGTTAGATCCCTAGTCCTAGCACTGGCACTTGTGATCCCTGGTCTGGGAGCACGTGGGAGGCAAGCAGTCTATGCTTCTCTCTTGCATCGCTGCTTCTCTCTCTCTCTCCTCTCTCCCTCTTCTTCCTCTAAAAAACAATGAAAAAAAGTGTCTGGGTAAGAAGAAAAAAAATAAAAAATAGACGAACTATGGCTACATGTGTCAACATGAATTAATCTAAAAAATGTTGGGGCAGGGAAAGTAAGTTAGAAATGTGCATACAGTATAATTTTATTTACATAAAGTTGAAAAGCATACAACAGCAAATAGTATATTGTTTCATGATATATTTGTATATGTGGTAGAATTAAAAAGAAGAAAAGGAACAACAAATACTGTAAAATTTTTCCTATGAAGGAGAGGGGAAAGTGCAATTCAGGAGGGAGAGTCACTTTTGGGTATTAGAAGTACTAGTAATATTTTATTTCCTAAGCTGGCTCAGAGTTCTTAGGTTTTTGCTTTGTCATTATACCTTTATAGTTTATAAATACATAGTTTTTAATCATTCAGTATTAAAATCTCAGGTGCATAGACTGTCATTAAAAAATTGAGCAAGTTTGACATAGAAAGATTGACAGAATAATACATCAGGAACATCAGTAATCTATTTCTTCACTAGAAAAGTTACAGGACCAGATATGTAGTTTGATCCTGTTCTTGTAAAGAGAGAACAAAGTTATGTAAAAATTTTATATTTATAAATGTGTTTTTAAAAAGCAATAAAAATGTGAAAGTGGTACTATATTATTAGAACAAAAAGCAAATGCTTAGAATAATGTAACTATTTGCAAGTATAGATAAAAATAGCAGGCTCTATATTCTAGCAGATCCTAATTAGGATTTAATTAAATGTATAATAAATTCAGAATAATAGGATATTTAGACAAAAGAAGCATAATGTTTAATATAGTGAAAACTTTATGGAACTAGAAAGTTAAAGAGCTTAGAAGTACATTTATAACACAATAAAATAAGCACTAGATAAATTTGAGTTAAGTATTTTAAAAACTGTAATTAGAAAACAGTAGTAAATTTACTCACGATATAGTTTTCTAATAATTGAAACCACAGAATAAATAAATTTTGATAATATATCATTTAAAACTTTCCTTTTCATATATTTTTTCATGAGAGTCTGAGAGGTTTCTCAAGCTATTTCTGTAATACCCTTGAAGATCATTTTCTTGGTATATCAAGAGGCTGAAAATGTCGGACACATGCAGTCATGATGTTTATAAAGTTCCTGTTCCTTCCATTTCCTTCATTACCCCCCCACCAAAACCAACTAACCAAACAAAAAACCTGGATATTTGAATACCAAACAGCAGTTGACAGAATTATGAAAAGTTTAGTAGCATGGAAATGACGTAATATACTTTCTGAAAAGACACATATAGAATATATACCGAGAGCTGTGGAGAGGAAAAAGGACTCAATAAAGAGATAGATGGAACCACAGAAAAATGAACACATGCGTTAAAGCAGAGGGAATTTTGGCTGAAGTTACTTTGTTTATTGGTTTGGTTTGGGATTTTAATGTAACGTACGTGTGTGTGTATGTGTGTGTGTGTGTGTGTGTGTGTGTGTAATCCTCATCCAAGAACATTTTTTCATTGCTTCTAGAGAGAGAGGAAGGGAGAAAAAAAGGGAGAAAGAGATACATTGATGGGAGAGAGAAGCATCAATTTGTTGCCTCTCATACATAGGAATTGAATGCTCCCAGACTGGGTCTTGAACCTGCAACCCTTCAGTTAAGAGATAACACTTCACCTAACTAAGCCACACCAGCCAGGGCTGTAACATTTAATTTAAAAAAAAGAAAAAAGAAAAAGAAAAGAAAAAGAATTGTAAAGTCCAGGTTATCTTAATTAAATAAAATGTAATTTGCCTTACATTGGGACCCCCCCCCCTTTTTTTTTTTTGAGAGAGAGAGAAACAATTTGTTGTTCCACTTTTATGCATTCATTGGTTGAATCTTGTCTGTGCCATGACCAGGGATTAAACCTGCAACCTTGGCATACTGGATGACACTCTAACCTGACCAGGGTGAAATATTTGACATTATTGTTACCAAATTGTTTAAGCTTTTAGTGTCCAGCTTAGTAAACACATGATAACTGAATATGGAAAATTGCTTTTAAAGGCCAGTTATTTCTTTATGAGCTATTCTGTATTCACTTTAAAAAAATTTTTTTTAATCTCAAGTAGTTTTGCCATCGTTTTGCTGCATTTTAACTGTTATATTGAACTATTTCATTTAGAGCTTTTGAAATTTTTCTCAGTCAGCATGGCTGTTTAAAAAGTTTCCCTATATTCTGGGTTATCAGGCAACAGAGAGACTGTTAGCATTAGGCAAATACATTGTTTAGTTGAAAGCCTCAACAGTAATAAAAACTTTGTTTTTAGGAAAGAACTGGAAAAACTACGAAAAGATCTGGAAGAAGAGAAGGCAAAGAGAAGTCATCTAGAGGTAATTCATTTCTGCCGGCATTGAGATTGCAGTCAGCATAGAATGTGTTTTCCAACACCGGGGGCGGGGGCGGGGGGCGTGATTGATTCCACTGCAGACAATGCTCTCCTACTTCAGTCGGACACTCCCTGCTACTTGGTAGCCGTTTAGTTACCCTCTGGTCGATGTCCTGTCACATTCCATTCTGTGGTCGGGCACACGTTCTTTGAGCACTACCTCTGATGGCAGTTCATGAGGCACCTAATAAACCGAACATGGTTCTTACCTCTGAAGAATGTCTAGTTCTAGATCTTTGCACTCAACACTGCTTCCTTCTTGAGCTATAATTGCCTTCTTTTCAGTTGACCTTTCTTCTTTTCTTTTTTCTGGTGCTACTAGTGGTGGAGGTGGTGGAGGTAGTAGTGGTAATGGGATGGCATTTGCTGACTTGGATTTCTCACTGAGAGCTAACTTTATAACTCTGATGTCATTGTCTTCAGTCTGCTGGTGACTGACAATTTGACTTCTTTTTTTTTTTATCTCCCTTAACTTTTTTTCCATCCTCACTGACTTTGGTCTTCATTTGTAGTCTTATTTTCTACATATGTCAGAGAAAGTGTGTCCTGCCTGTTTTCAGAGGCCCTTTCCATTTTGTATTTATTTTATTCTTTCTATTTTTACCTTGCCTCATTACACTTAGACATTTCTTCTGTTACTACTGTAAAACAGAGAATATGGACTTGCCATTAAAAAACTTGAGCTCTTCTTATACTCATGACTTTCAGTTTAAACTGTGTGTCAGTTAGGCTTAACACTTTCTTTACATTATCTCATTGGACACACATAACAACTTGTGTAAGGATTATTGTTCCCATTTTAAGGGAGAGGAAACTGGAGTTTAGATTGATTAAGTCACCAGTTGAACTGAAATTTTTAACAGAAGCAGCCAGATTTCAGAACCTTTACACTTAGGGATTAAGTTATACAATTTAAGGAAGTCACCTAATCTTACTCCATTTCAATTGCTGAGGTAATATATGTGAAGGTATATTTGTACCACAAAAAAAAAAAAAAAGTGTACATTAGCAGTCTCTGATTCTTTACCTTTAATTCAGACCCTAACTTCTGACATTTTTGGTTTACTGATGGCAACTCCAATGTCTCTGCAGTTTTTGACAGCAAGTCACATTTTAACATTGCCACTCTTTCAAAGGTCTGCTTGGTTTTTGTGGTCCTGCATTTTTCTGTCTTTACTTTCTTCACCTCTTCTTCCTTTCTTGTAACGTAAATGAAGTGGTCCCTCAGTGCTGTGCTTGGACCTCCTTCCTGTGTGTTCCTGTGTTGCTCCTCTGGGTCCATGAATATCACAATTAGCTTCAGTGCATCTCCATCTAAATCTATTCCTTCTTTTCCCAACTTCTATCCTATATTTCTAGCTGTTAGTTTCCTAGATGTTCCACTGTGAACATAGACTTACCATGAAATTTATCATCTTCCTTTTGTGTTCTTCTGATCCTCTGTTTCTGTGGATGGTTTTGTTGCCCTTCTAGTCATGCAGACATGGTACTTCTGTTCTCTTCTGATTCCATCCCCTTTCAGGCCTATTAGATTTACGTCCTAATCTTTATCGTTTTATTCCCACTATATCTGTCCCTTTCTCATTCTCTGTGTCTTATGTTTAGCATGCTGAAGTTTCTCATTTATATCTCAAATTAATATATTAATTAATATATCTCAAATTAATGGACAGATCTTCCAAACAAAATATCAACAAGAATATTGTGGAACTGAACGACGCATTAGATCAAATTGACTTAACTGACATATATAAAACCTTTCATCCCAAAGAAGCAAAAATACACGTTCTTTTCAAATGTACACGGAACATTTTCAAAGATAGACCACATGATAGGACACAAAACAAGCCTCAACAAACTCAAGAACATTGAAATCATAACAAGCATTTTCTCAGACCAAAAGGGCTTGAAACTAGAAACCAACCTCAAGAAAAAAACTCAAAAACATTCAAACTCATGGAGACTGAATAGCATGCTATTAAACAATGAATGGATCAATAATGAGATCAAAGAAGAAATCAAAAAAGCCTCTGAAAACAAAGTAAAATGAACACACAACACTCCAAAACCTGTCAGACACAGCAAAGGCAATCCTGAAAGGGAAGGTCATAGCAATACAGGCCTACCTAAAAAAGATAGAAACATTTCAAATAAACAGCCTAACCCTCCATCTTCAAGAACTGGAGAAACAACACAGCCCAAAACGAGTAGAAGGAAGGAAATAATCACGATCAGAGCAGATTTGAATGACATAGAGACTAAAAGAACAGCTCAGAGGATCAACCAATCCAGGAGCTGGTTCTTTGAAAAGATAAATAAAATTGACAAGCCTTTAAGCAGACTCATCAAGAAAAAAAGAGAGAGGACTCAAATAACATCAGAAATGGAAGAGGAGAAATAACAACTGATACCACAGAAATACAAAGGATTGTAAGAAACTACTGTGAACAGTCATATGCCAAGAAATTTGAAAACCTGGGCAAATTTGAAGTTGAAATGGACAGGTTTCTAGAAAAATATAACCTTTCAACACTGAATGAAGAAGAAGCAGAAAGCCTCAACAGACTGATAACACCTGGTGAAATTGAAACAATAATCAAAACACTCCAGCATACAAAAACCCTGGACCGGATGGTTTCACGGGAGAATTTTACAAAACATTTAAGGAAGAGCTAACCCCTGTCCTTCTCAGACTATTCCAAAAAATCCAAGAAGAAGGAAGACTCCCAAACTCTTTTTGTGAGTCCGGCATCATCCTAATCCCAAAACCAAATAAAGAAACAACCAAGACAGAAAACTACAGGCCAATATCACTGATGAACATAGATGCTAAAATCCTCAACAAAATATTAGCAAACCATATCCAGCAATACATTAAAAAGAATATCCACCATGATCAAGTGGGATTCATCCCAGGGATGCAGGGGATGGTTCAATATTTGCAAATCAGTAGACATAATACATCACATAAACAAAAGGAAAGACCAGAATCACATGATCATATCAATAGATGCAGAAAAACCATTTATAAGGTACAGCATCCATTTATGATAAAAAACACTCAGCAAAGTGGTAATAAAGGGGGCATACCTTAACATAATAAAGGCCAAATAAGAAAAACCTACAGCCAACATCATACTCACAGGCAAAAACTAAAAGCTTCCTCACTAAGATCTGGAATAAGACAAGGTAGTCCACTTTCACAACTTCTATTCAATATAGTATTGGAAGTCCTAGTCACAGCAATCAGACAAGAAAAAGAAATAAAACGCATCCAAACTGGAAAGGAGGAAGTAAAACTGTCACTGTTTGCAGATGATATGATAGTGTACATAGACAATCCCATAGACTCCACCAAAAAACTACTTGACCTAATAAGTGAATTTGGCAGAACAGCGGTATACAAAGTCAATATTCAGAAATCCGAGGCATTTTTGTATACCAGTGATGGAAGATCAGAATCAGAAATCAGGGAAAAAATCTCATTTGCTATAGCAACAGGAAAAATAAAGTACCTAGGAATAAACTTAACCAAGGAGATAAACCTGTACTCATAAAACTACATAGCACTGAAGAAAGAAATTAAGGAAGACACAAATAAATGAAAGCATGCACTGTGTTCATGGATTAGAAGAATTAACATCCTCAAAATGTCCATACTACCCAAAGCTATTTATAGATTCAGCACAATCCCTATTAGAATATGACATATCTCACAGATAACAGAACAAACATTTTAAAAATTTATATGGAACAATAAACGACCCGAAATAGCCACAGCAATTTTGAGAAAGAACAAAGTAGGAGGGATCACACTACCTGACCTCAAACTATATTACAAGTCCACTGTAATCAAAACAGTCTGGTACTGTCATAAGAACAGACTCATAGATCAGTGGAACAGAATAGAGAGCCCAGAAATAAACCCATGTCTCTATGGTCAATTAATATTTGACAAAGGGGGCAGAAGCTTAAAATGGAATAAAAATAGCCTCTTCAACAAATGATGTTAGGAGAGGTGGACAACTACACGCAAAAAATTGAAATTCCACTACCAACTTATACCATGCACAAAAACAAACTCAAGATGGACAAAAGACTTAAATATAAGTTGCAACACCATAAAAGTCCTAGAGGAGAACATAGGCAGGAACCTCTCAGATATCCCATGCAGCAATATTTTCACCGACATGTCCCCTAGAGCAAGGGACATAAAGGGAAGAATAAACAAATGGGACTTCATCAGAATAAGAAGCTTCTGTGCAGCTTAAGAAGACATCAGCAAAATGAAAAGGGAGCCAACCGTATGGGGAAAATGTATTTGCCAAAGAAACCTTAGACCAGAGTTTGATCTCCAAAATATATAAAGAACTCACACGACTTCACTCCAGGAAGACAAGCAATCCAATTGAAAAATGGGCAAAGGACCTGAATAGACACTTCTCTGAGGAGGGAATACACAGAGACATATGGAAGGATGCTCAGCATCACTAGCCATCAGAGAAATGCAAATTAAAACCACAATGAGATACCACTTCACACTGGTCAGAATGGCCATCATAAACAATCAACAAACAAGTGCTAGTGAGGGTGTGGAGAATAGGGAAGCCTTGCACACTGTTGGTGTGAATATAAACTGGTGCAGCCACTGTAGAAAACAGTTTAGAATTTCCTCAAAAAGCTAAAAATGGAACTGCCTTTTGCCCTCGCAATTCCACTGCTGGAATTATACGCTAAGAATCCCAAAACACCAATTCAAAGGAACCTATGCACCCCAATGTTCATAGCAGCACAATTTACAGTAGCCAAGGGTTGGAAGCAACCTAAGTGAACGTCAATAAATGAGTGGATCAAAAAACTATGGTACATTTTCACAATGGAATCCTACGCAGCAGAAAGGAAAAGCAAGCTACTACCCTTTGTGATAGCATTGGAGAGCATTATGCTAAGTGAAATACTCCAGGTGGTGAAAGACAAATACCATATGATCTCAGCTGTAAGTGGAACCTAATCAGCAAAACAAACAAGCAAGAAAATATAACCAGCAACATTGAAAGAAGAAACAAACCCACAATAATGAGAGGGAAGGATGGAGGCAGGTAATGGGGAAAAGAAGGGGAAAGGTCCTATCAAGGAACATGTATAAAGGACCCGGTTTGAGGGTGGGAGGTAGGGGTGGGGTGGGCAGGGAGGTGGCAGGAAAATGGAGACAAGTGTATTTGAACAATATATAAATAAATGTATGTATGTAATTTGATTCAATTTCTCTAGCCAAATCAGCTGTTCGCTTCTCACTGACTTGTATTATAAATATTTTATCCTAAAGAGGAACATTTTGATTCTTTTATTTATAAAAGCACACTTATTCAGGCATTTCATTGTAGGATCATTTATTTAAAGAGAAATTATATTTCCCAAAAAACTAAAAGTAGTACTTCGACAAGAAGTTAATATTATATAATACTAAATTATACTTAGCAATGATAAAAAGGACTAAAGATGAACAATGCACATAAAAGAGCTAGACGAGAGACTCCATCTGTCTTCAACAATGTAAGTACTTGCCTGATATCTAAACTTGTGACAAGTAGCAGTCTGTAAGGAGTATTACTGAGTGCATATGGGTTATTCTTTCCACCCCTTACTCCCTCTTCCACCAGGGTTTTTTTCTTTGCTTTCTGTATATCCTCTCCCATTAAAATTGGTACAGTTGGTTAATGTATCTTTTGAATAGAGACAATAATAGTACATTAGGCATCATGATGATTCAGCAATTTTATCTCCAGTCTGAAAACTCAGATTTCTCGCCATCCAATGCTGCTAAAATGTTTAATCATATTAATCAAAGAGTAATATCAGGAAAGATCCTATAATTAACAAACCATCCTTGAAGAGTTGGAATTGCTTAGAAGATTGAGAGCATTTTGAATTACACTTTTTCTGTGTAACAAAATGTCCATCATTTTAATAATGAACTATTTGTCAGAGCACGTATTACTTGTTACGCACTGTTGGGTATGGGGATGATGCTATCAAAAGATGGTAAAGCCTAAATATTTCCACATGCTGGGAAAGGTCAAAGATGATCAAAATATTGCGAAGAGAGTATAAAAACTTGGATTTAGAGCCTTAGGCCTTACCAAGTTAAGCAATAGGCTGTTTGCTAGCTGGAACCATTGGCGTGGTATTTAATCTCTATGAGCCTCAATTTAGTTATTTGTAATATGTCAGAATTACATAACTGTGGTTATTGTGAAAGTTAATGAATTTTTCAAATTTTCTTAGGGTTTCTGAATTGTGAATTTCTGTTAACAGAAGGATACAGTCTGCCTACAGGTCAAAATATTTCTAGTACATTGACTGCATTTTAAATGTATTTCTGGGATTTCAAGAGAACTTAATCTAGAACATACTGTTTACAGACAGATATGGAAATTGAGACCAAGTGAGGTTAAGTGACTTGCCAACATCACATTGGTTGTAAGTGAAAATGTAGAACTAAACTGGTCCTTTATGTATGTATATATGTTTGTATTTACTTATTTTCCTATTCTGTACTTCACCTTTTATTTAGTTACAGGTTTGTGTACAGTTCTTGATTTGGTTTCAAGGGTTCCCTTGTTCTTTGTAGGGCTTGTTTTCTTCTAGTTCTTCCAAATGCTCACATAAGTTAATGTTGTTTTGGCTCAGATAACTGTAGTTGCCTTTGTGTTTTTGTGCCCTGCCACTTAGGAATTTGCATTATGACATTTTCTTCTGTTGAACTTTGTCTTTCACCATTGGAAACTTTTCTCTACACACCATTGAAAATTGGGTTTTAGAATAGAAAACAGTATTTGGAAGCTTGAAAATATGACCAGATCTTAATGACCTAGGATAAAATAAAGCAACTTTACTAATGTAAAGATATTTTATCTGTTGCTCAATTTATGTTTTGTATTTTAGGTAGAAATAGAGAAGCTGAAAAAAGCAGTCCTGTCTTCTTGAAGAGGCACAGACCCAGTATTTTTTATGATCCAGGGACTCAGAAGCAACACTATGAACTTCAACTAACTTGTTACTTAAAATGTTGATGTTGTGATGAAGAAACATGAGTATTTGAATTATAATATCTATATGAAAGTAGGGGGAGGGTGAATTTTTTTATATATTTCATTTTGCCAACATGAGGGGAAAAAAGAGGCCTTATTTCCTATGTGCTGGGATTGCAAACTTCCTTTTTTAGTTTGCTTGAAAATACTACTGAATCTGTATAAAAAGGAAAGTTCACAATAGTTTTTTTAATTGAAACTTGTACTATTATTTTTAAAGAGATCTATACTATAAATATGGTGATATCTTTACAAATAATCTGTAAAATATACTATTTGAGAGAGACAAATTAGCTTTATAGTAACTACAGTCACTGCTTTTCCCATACATTATACTTAAGAGATATAAACTTTATACATAAGGAATATAAACTTTGTATATATATATTTTTTTCTTTCACTTTTAGCTTCTTACCCAGGATTACACTGTTGTACCTGTTTGTTTGCAGTGCTGTTTATATTCTGGGCAATGAAATAGAAGTTTCCTAGCTATATATACCAGATTACTCACCCATGCATATAGTAATACCTAATCAAACAGTCGATCACAATAATTTCATCTGCTTTTGGGATATTTTACATTGCTTGCACTATAGGATTTATAAAAGGAATTTAATTAAGGTGGATTGTTAAATACATTTGGGAAAATATGAGCTATATTTTAAATTCCTTGGGTCTAAAGAACATTTAGTCAACCCTTGTTTTGCCTAGAAACTACAGCATATACATAGTATGCAGACACCAATCTAATTGCTGTATGTTTTTGCTTATTTTACAGGCTTACATATTATTCATTTCATGATCTTGTGGTTTAATTCTTTATGCCCCTCCCTCTGATTTTTAATAATGGTAAACAAAAGTCAAACTTTAAGAAGTTAAATATGAGGTTTCATACTCTGACAAGTTATCATTATGTAAATACTCGGGTTTTACAATGCTAAATTGTCCTGATACTAAACTACATCGTGGAGATATTTTGGGATGTGGTCTAGGAACCAACTTTATAACGAGTGTTAGTATATGATAAAATTGTAGCTTATTTAAAACCAAACATAGTTGTCCACGTTCAAAGTGCGTTTTCACAAAATTGATGGTTTACCATTCCTTCAGTCACTTATGGACAGTTGAACTTTTTTTTAATCCTCACCCAACAATATGTTTATTGATTTTTAGAGAGAGAGGGAGGGAGAGAGGGAAAGATTGATCAGTTGCCTCCCATGTGCATCCCATCCGGGGATCACTCAACCTAGGTCTGTGCTCTGACTGGGGATGAAACCTGCAACCTTTTGGTGCACAGGATGATGCTCTGACCAACTGAGCCACCTGGACAGGGCAACCGTTGATCATTTTTAAAGTGTTATATGTATAGTCTTAAAGTGTCAGTTTTTATATTAAAAGTAGAAATTTGATGTTTTTATTTGCAAAAAAATTTAGATTTTAAAGATTTTTTTTTTTTTTGCAGGTGACTTTCAGATTTTGAGTACCCTCTATTATGCTTCCATTTTATGTTATTTTAAAGCACCTAACCAATATTTTTCCTTTACACTTTTGATCTTATAATACCTTTGAAATTTTGTTAAATGAAATTTTGTCACCTTTCAAATAAAATAACTGGAGTTGAAAATGATAGAAATTCTAATATATAGTTACTTCATGTGAGATTAACAAATTCATGAGGTTTTGTTTTTTTTTGCAAACCTGATTGCATTGATTATGTATACTCTAATTCTTTTAAAGTCCCTGGGCTTGTCTAATGAGGTCACTGCTGAACAAAATTGTTTACTCAAAAAAAATTGTTCTAATTTTTTTTTTAATCCTCACCCAAGGACATGCTTATTGATTTTAGAGAGAAGGAAAGAGGGAGAGAAACATAGATGTGAAAGAGAAACATTGACTAATTGCCTTCCACATGTGCCCTGACCAGGAATCAAACCTGCAACCTTCAGCCACACCAGCCAGGGCCTAATGTTTTTAAATGACTTGTCAACTGAATAATTTCTTTTTGTTAAATAAGTGAGAACTTAGTTTTTAATGAAAGTCCTGAAGTGGAAGTATAAACAATGTATCTTAGAAATCATCCTCCAGCTTTCTGTCTGGGAAAATCTATTAAGTGACTCCTCCTCCCCATAATAATGACATGGGAAAAGTTTCCAGCAGATTTCAGTCTGTTCTTAAAGTTTCTGCCGGCCATTTTCTCATTAGCACGTAGTATCAAGAAATGCATTTAAAGTATTTGCTTATAAACTTTCTCAGTCAGAATAGAAAAGTAATTAAAGTACTGTCAGTTTTTCTGCCCTTGACCAAAAAGTAAAGAAAACCAAACAAACTCATACTAACAGGGAAAACTGATTACTTTAGCAATTTACCAATATTATTGATACGGGAATTTTGTTAATTCCTGTTCATAGGATAACAAAATGGTATACAATAATAGCCATTACTTGGAGGTTGTCATTATTTGCTATGAATGAACATAAATGACAGATGAAAGGTGAATAGCATAGAATCTGTCATTGCCAAATTATTTGTGAATGTGTTGTTTAGATTCACTATTCTTTAAAAAACACACATTACTGGTTTTCCTAATCATATTTTAGTATTAGCAGTAGTGTGGGGGAGGGGGGGCGACCACAAAGATTCTTTACAAAATTTAATTCTGAAACTTCTTTAGAAAATTTAGGTCTTCTATGTTCAGATAGAAGAGAAGTGGGCCAGGAGTAGCAGGTGATTGATTCCTTTTATATGGTTCTTACTGTGATCATGGGGTGGGGGCGGGGAACCAAGTGCTCTCTAGATGTATTGCCGAACATTTTATGTTTGCATTTAAACTTGAAGTGTATGAACAGAGTGAGACAATCAGTTAAAACCAGAAATAAGTGTTATAAACTTAATGGCCTTATTTTACTATAGCAATAAAGTGACCAAGTGCAATGACTTGATTTTATAAAATCATCTTTTAAAAGTTGCTGCTATGAATATTTTTAGCCATGGAATTTTACCCTTCTTTTCTCTTCACTTGTCTTCAGTAATTACAGTGTAATGCATTTGGTGTTGTGGTATGCTAACATTCCAGGGTGGGTGGGAAAAAAATAAATATATAAATTCAAGAAACTCAAAACTCACTTGTTTACAGGTGCTGTAAAAAAGCATGCTTCTGCTTCAAAAAGAAAAATAATAAAAGAATACTATTGCCAGTTGTGTCAGGCTCTTGGTTATTTTTCATTACCTTCAGCATATGCTTATTGCAGAGTACAATGAATATTTTCATATATTTCTTTCAGTTTTGTAAATAAAAGGTAATGCAACTAGTAAAATGAAAGCATTAAAAGTTCTAGACTTGGGTGATTTTACTAAACATTTATGAGTCTTTTTCACTGAGAACCGTGAGAATATTTTGTGCAATACAGGAATATTGGGGGAATTTGAAGTGATTTATGTAAAGTACCTTATGGAGTACTTGTCATGGAGTAGATTTTTTTTAAAATGGAAGCTGCTCTTTTCTCAAAAACATTTTCTCGAGATTGATGTTAAGAGAAAGGAGCCCTCCTACTTCCTTTCTCTGGGAGAAACACACCTGCTGATTTGTATTCACAATGGAGCTGCTACCATCTTAGAAAATCTACCTCCCCAGCTACCTAGTGTTTGGGAGAGTACTTTGCCCAAATTATGTTACTGACTTAGAGACATTTAAAAAATTTGAAACACAAAGAGCTAGTCTCAGCATAGGAGCCCTCTCCAGTTCTGTCATCTGGGAAAATAGCTGATATGAAAGAACGAACTTAAAGCGTAAAGAGGTGGAACCAATCCACAAGGATTTTAAAACATTACAAGTCATTCCTGAGCCCCAACTACCCGTTGCATTGCTTGGCCTTGTAAGCATAAACACGCTCATAACTTACTAGGTTTCTGCACTTAGAACTGGAAGTTTTGGTAAGTGCAAAAAATGAGAGTTCGGAAGACATGAAGGCCTATGTACTGTTACTGAAAATATTCCACATAATCTCAGCTCTGAGATACTGGTGAAAGGAGCGCATTTCCAATTTTTGTATGTCCCTTGGGTGAATTTAGATTGCAGACCCCAACAGTAGAGGGGGCAACTAGTTGACATGTTTGCAGTCAGTGCTGGCTCCCCTCTCCCGGGCTAGGTCACCGCACTTCTCACTTGGGTACTCACCTGGAATTCTGGCAGTCAGAGGGTTACTAGGGATCCGCAGAGGGGTCCCCGAGACAGAGGAAAGAGAGGACCCGCACCATTCTATCCTGTGGCCTCATTTCTTACTAAATTACTCTGAGGCAGCGGATTTTTTTTTTAAGCCACGTACGAGTCTCCAGGCTTCCTAGAAAACGACTCAAAGGCCTTGAATCAGAAAAGGAGTATGAAGCTCTGAAACCTTGGTTTAATACAGTTCGCCTCTGTGTGTGGGGGAGGGGGGCAGGGGAAGATTTCGTTGATCTAGGGCTGGAAGCGGTGGGGGCGGGGACGGTTGCCGCAGGTGGAAGGGGCCGTCCCGCTGGCGCTGGGCTGGTTACGGTGCTGTGAACCTGGACACATTCCCTGTTCCCGGTGGCCCTGTCTCCGTGTCACATCCTGGCGCTGTGCGCGGGGCTCCCACGGCTGCTGCACGCCTGGCCCCCGTCCCGTCTGCACTCCATCCCGGGCCGCGGCTTAGGCAGGTTGGCCGAGGTGCGGGAAGGCAGGGGGAGCGCAGCTGCAGTGTGGAGGCGGCAGAGCAGAACGGCTCGGGGGACGGCGGGGCTGTGCCTACTCCGCTTAAGTGCTCAGCGGGCAGGCAGCATTGTTCCTCCTTCCGCCTCCCACCGTTGCTCAACCCCGGCGCCACGCCACACGAATTTCCGAGTGGCTGACTGCAGCTTGGCAACTTATTCTTTAGCACCATTTGTTTGTTTGTTTTTTTAAAGAGACTGATGTCTAAGTCTGTTGTAAGCATTAGGGTTGATGTATTGACATCAACAATAAAGGCAGTGCAGGGGTTGATGGTCCAAGATCAGCTCCAGAAATTCCTGACCGAGTGGCTGACTGCAGCTTCTGCAACTTATTCTTTAGCACCATCTGTCTTTCAGAAGTTTGATTTCTAAGTCTTTCTGTTATAGTTGAAGTCAGTAAGTAGCAGTTTGCTGCTTAATTTGAAGCTCTAATTTTCATAGTTCCGTTCTAAATCACTACAGAGTTATGTCTCTCATTCTCTGCTCTTAAAATTGCCTGAGTGGCTTCAACCTCCTTTTAGAGTAGGTGTCTTTCCTCTTTTGAATTCCTTCATCAGCATCACTTCTGTGGAGTTAGAGATGTGCCCTGTGAAGGAAGCCACACTGCCACCCACTTGCTCCAGGAAATGGTGTTAGCCACAGCCCAGGCCACCAAACCAGGAGGCCATTACTGCGGGTCACAGGGCTGACCTGGTCCACTCTGCTCAAAGCGTCCAGAACAGTCAGACAACCTCGCCAACTGTCCAAGAATTGCTGTGTGGGCGGGGCTAACGATCAAACCGGAAAGACCCGTTGCTAGGCAACGCCTGAGTGTGGAGCCTTCCACATGGGGCACCCCGGAAGGAAGATGCCAGGCCTGGGCCTGCCAAGGGGTTTCTTCAGAGACTCGTTCCCCATGGGCCTGCTCTGTTTCCCCTCTCTCAGAAAATCCACATTGCCTTTGACTTTCTTGTCACACAAGCTTGTCACCCGCAGCTTGTGATTTCCATACCACAGGTTTTTTTACATTTGAGGTAGATTTCACACAGTGACATGCATCGTCTTAAGACCACAAGTGAGTGCGTTTGGGCAAATGTCCACGCCTGTGCATTGCGCCTACACTAGTAATCTTTCCATTGCCATTTATCATGCCCACTCCTCCAGAGCTGTCATTAGTGAGAGTTGTCTCAGAGTCACCCTACAGGATGGTCTTATGAGGTCTGCTTTGATTACTGATCTAGGAATTGATAAAGTAGAGAGCACATTTGCTATGATTGTAGGTGACACCAGATTGGAAGATATATGGTGGTTAGAACTAGGAAGGTTAGCAAGAAATGAGACTTGGGGCAGAGTCAGTAGGAACTAAAGGAGACTTTTGGTTTGGTTTGGTTTGGTTTGAGGAAGGAAGATATTTGAACGTGTATGAATGTTAATGGGATGATGCATCACAGAGGGACAAATTGAGTAGGCAGGGAACAGGAATAGGGAATGCTGTCCCTGAGGAAGTCTGAAGAGAAGGGGACAGAGCTACTGAGAGGGGGTGAGTTTTGACCTGAAGACAGACACTTTCTCTAACTTGATGCAAGGGAAGAAGATAGGAGTGCATGCAGGTGTGTTTGTATGGTTGGAGGTTTCTATTTTCTCCGCAAAATGTAAGGTGACTTTAATAATGTGAGGGGTAGGGAGGACGAGGACTTTGAGCAAATGTATATAATTTGTCATCCAGGATCATGGAAAAACGAGGTTGCCAGTGACTCACAGCAAGGTTGACCAAGTCTTGCATGGCAGACTGGAATTCTGTATTCATTATTTTAAAGAGAAAAGACCCATGTTTTATATCAGTCCAATCTAAGACACACCTCTGAAAGTGGGATACATTTTAGTATTGTTCCATAGTTTACTAGTGTTGTTTCAGAGTTTAACTGTCAGCATTGTTTTTTCCTCAGTTGTCCATAAAACAACGTGCATCTTACAATCAGTGGCATCTTAGAGTCAGTGAAATATGGCTCAGCTGCGATGAAAACATCGAGAAAGCACTTCTTTCAGGGTTAGCTCTCAAAGACAAAATGAACATATAGCAGTTTGACAATAGCTGTCAATCACAAAGAGGCCGATTTGAGCCCGCTCACATAATAGAATTGCAATCTGATTGTAAGCCCTGTCTCCTGAGATGGTCAGCTCTACATTACCACAAGTGTTTCATCCAGAAACTTGGTCTACAAGGTCAATCTCTAAGCTCTTTTGCCAGTTTAAGACTCTATCATAAAGTTTTCTTATAAGCTCAGCTCTCATGAAACAGCAGTTCAGAATTTTTGCCAAGGTGTCTAATTTTGGATGCCCAAATTTGGTGGTTATTGAAGAAAGGATCCAGAGAGTCTATGTATCCATTCATAATATATTATTTGCCTAATATACACTAAGCCAGGTGGTCTGTTAGGTTTGGGAGAAATAAAAACACATAAAATCTGGGTCTCTGACCTATAAGAGCTCACAACCTGTGATGAGACAAACAAGAAACAGAGAGTTGTTACCAGAAGTATTCATTCATCTCAGCACTTGTGTAGCACATATCTATTGAGTTCCTATGAAGTGTCAGGCACTGTTCTAAGTAGTGGAAATAGAGCACTATTGAAATTGACTAGATTCCTGCCTCCATAATTCTTGGGAAATAAAACTAATTGATAACATTCCCAAGAATGAACATTTTGATGAATTATATAGATTTAAAAAAAGGAAAAAAAAAGGAGCCCTGGCCAAGTGGCTTGGTTGGAGTATTGTCCTGTACACAAAAACTTGCAGGTTCAATTCCCAGTCAGGGCACATACCAAAGTTGTTGATTCAAAATCCGATCGGGGTGTATATGGGAGGCAACTGATCCATGTTTCTCCCGCATATCAATGTTTCTTTGTCAATATATCTTTGGGTGAGGATTACAAAAATTAAATTAAAAAATATATCCTTGGGTGAGGATTAAAAAAATTTTTTAACTGCAATATGAGAGCCCTGATCAGTGTGGCTCAGTTCCTGGAGCACCCTACAGCAAAGTGAAAGGTAGAAAGGTTGCCAGTTCTATTACCGGTCAGGTCCCAGTTTGCACATGAAGGAGAGGAAACCAATCGATATTTCTCTCTAACATCAATGTTTCTATCCCTCTCTTTTTCCTTCCCTTCCCTTCTCTCTAAAAATAAACAAATAGAATCTTTTTTTTTTAGAAGTGGAAAATGAGAGAGAATGATTGGGATGCTGCTTTAGACAGGGTGTTAGGTGTATCAATTAAGCTACTTTGACCACATGTAATAAAAGACATTGGCAAAAGTCTTAAGAGCATTCATTTTTTTAAAAGCCCAGCAGTTATTGATCCCAGTGCGGTTTAGTAATTCAGTGGTGTCATCAAAGACCAAGGTGTTTCCATCCTTCTCCTCCTCCATGCTAAACATTTTGGCATTTTCCTCAGGCTTGTTTCTTCATGCTGGCAAGATGGTTG